ATATTTTCCCTTCAGTTTCAGGTCGCGCTCTCTATTACAATTTGGGGGCCGCGTTAGGCTATTTCAGTTTTCGTAGTTTCATTCTTAGTTTACATATAAAGGGCGAAGGTCGCTTCCGCAGTCGGCATTTGGGTAGGTTTTGCACTGAACCATTTCATTATTCCCAGAATCATTTGTTAATTGTTATATAATCAATTTGGTTTTTAGTTTCTCCTCCAGGGCTTCTCCATATCCATAATCGTCTCTGTTGTTCTTGGAACCATGTGTTGGCTATTACTTGGTCATTTTCTGTACACCATTGGATTCATTTTTCTCTGCGTTCGTTGTGGGTTCTTAATCCGAATTTTCCTGCTATATCTCCTGCCCATTCCCTGCCTACATTGGCTGTTAGGTCTCTCATGATAATGATGACGTCCTATGATTTGTATACAGCCTTGGCACTGTCCAGCATTGAGTAGAACGATTCGATGTCCTCTTCCCTGCTTTGTGCCGTCGGTGCTTACATTACTATAATAGCCACGTTGAAAGTCTTCCCTTTCAGTTTCAGTTACAATTTGAGGGCCGCATTAGGCTATTTCTGTTTCCGTAGTTTCATTCTTAGTTTACATATAAAAGGGCGAAGGTCGCTTCCGCAGTCGGCATTTGGGTAGGTTTTGCATTGAACCATTGCATTATTCCTGAATCATTTGTTAATTGTTATGTAGTCAATTTGGTTTTTACTTTTTCCTCCTGGGCTCATCCATGTCCATAATCGTCTCAAATGTTCATGAAACCAGGAGTTGGCTATTATCTGGTCATCGGCCGAGCACCATTGGATCCATTTTTCTCCACGTTCATTGCGGGTTCCTCGTCGGAATGTTCCGGCTTATATCCTCTGCCCTCTCAGGTCTCCCATGATTATGAAATGGATTAAGACCGACAATTATTTAATATAATTTCTGTTTATACGTTATTTTTATAGATACAATTTATTTAAGTAAATACTCAATTTTTTTTTCTAATTAAATAGTATTAATTACATTTACCAGCCGGAATATTCAAGAAATTTCGTAGAAAATATGCGGACTCCGACAGGAATCGAACCCTTAAACCGATGTGTTGTCCACCATTAAAAATCGTCGAAGGTGTGTGTTTATAAACAGTAATTCGGACTTTGCTTTGTTATGTAATCAATTTGGTTTTTAGTTTTTCCTCCTGGGCTTTTCCATGTCCATAATCGTGTTGGATGTTCTTTGAACTGTGTGTTGTCATGATCTCTGTAAGAATGCCAACTTTTGGTCAACCAGCGTCTGACTCTTACAAAAAGGTGACAGGTCAGTGAATTGTAGGAAAAAGTCAGCTTTGAAGGCAAATTTCGGCAACAACTGATTTTGCCGAACAACTTGCTTAATCTTACTGGCCAACCAACAAATACGAATACCCGGATAAAAGACCTCCACTTTGTAAGGTCATCCGATTACATCAAAGAGATATTTGTAGTATAAATGATCCAGAACTCAGAGATTTTTCATTCTAAAAAAATAGATTCTCTTAACAATATCATTTAAAAATGTTTCCGCCAGTCTTACTGTTTGAACCAAGCCCCACCTATTTTACTCTATCAACAAAATTTTATTCTTGAAAATAGTCTTCGAAAAGATTAACCAAAAATTCTCACTACCCCACTATCGGCAAAATATATAGATTCGTTAAAACAAGAAGGGAATTAATGTGGTTCTACCCACGAATGCTGAAAAACGACTTCATGCGGTTCTACTCAAGAATGCGAAAAGCGACTTCATGTAGCTCTGCTCATGAATGCTAAACAAGTTCATGTGGTTGTACCCACGAATGCTGAATAGCGACATCATGTGGTTCTACCCATGAATGTAGAGAATAGAATTCATGTGGTTTTTACCCACTTAAGGTTAGAAACGACTTTATGTGTTTCTGTCCACGAATGCTGCGAGAAGACTTCATGTAGTTTTACCCACGAATGCTGAGAGAAGACTTCATGTGGTTCTACCCACGAATGCTAAGAGAAGACTTCATGTGGTTCTACCCACGAATGCTGAGAGAAGACTTCATGTGGTTCTACACACGAATGTTGAGACTTCATGAGGTTCTACCCACTAATGCTGAGAGAAGACTTCATGTGGTTCTACCCACCAATGCTACGAGAAGACTTCATGTGGTTCTACCTACGAATCCTGAATAGCGACTTCATGTGGTTCTACCCATGAATGTAGAGAATAGAATTCGCGTGGTTTTTACCTACTTAAGTTTAGAAACGACTACATGTGGTTCTACCCACGAACGCTGAGAGAAGACTTCATGTGGTACAAGCAACGAATGCTGAGACAAGACATCATGTGGTTCTACCCACGTAAATGCTGAGAGAAGACTTCATGTGGTTCTACCCAAGAATGCTGAGAGAAGACTTCTTGTGGTTCTACCCACGAATGCTGAGAGAAGACTTCATGTGGTTCTACCTACGAATGCTAAGAGAAGACTTCATGTGGTTCTACTCACGAATGCTGAATAGCACCTTCATGTGGTTCTACTCATGAAAGTAGAGAGAAGACTTCATGTGGTTCTATCCACGAATGCTGAGAGAAGACTTCATGTGGTTCTACCCACGAATGCTACGAGAAGACTTCATGTGGTTCTACCCACGAATGCTAAGAGAAGACTTCATGTGGTTTTAGCCACGAATGCTAAGAGAAGACTTCATGTGGTTCTACCCACGAATGCTAAGAGAAGACTTCATGTGGTTCTACTCACGAATGCTGAGAGAAGACTTCATGTGGTTTTAGCCACGAATGCTAAGAGAAGACTTCATGTGGTTCTACCCACGAATGCTAAGAGAAGACTTCATTTGGTTCTACCCACGAATGCTAAGAGAAGACTTCATGTGGTTCTACTCACGAATGCTGAGAGAAGACTTCATGTGGTTTTAGCCACGAATGCTAAGAGAAGACTTCATGTGGTTCTACTCACGAATGCTGAGAGAAGACTTCATGTGGTTTTAGCCACGAATGCTGAGAGAAGACTTCATGTGGTTCTACCCACGAATGCTAAGAGAAGACTTCATTTGGTTCTACCCACGAATGCTAAGAGAAGACTTCATGTGGTTCTACCCACGAATGCTAAGAGAAGACTTCATGTGGTTCTACTCACGAATGCTGAGAGAAGACTTCATGTGGTTTTAGCCACGAATGCTAAGAGAAGACTTCATGTGGTTCTACCCACGAATGCTAAGAGAAGACTTCATGTGGTTCTACTCACGAATGCTGAGAGAAGACTTCATGTGGTTTTAGCCACGAATGCTGAGAGAAGACTTCATTTGGTTCTACCCACGAATGCTAAGATAAGAAACTACAAGGAAATTGACCACGAAAAGAAAGCTGTCATGCGTAGGAGCATATGAACCTGCTGGAAAAATAACCGACTCCCGAAGGTACCTAGTTCCAACTACCATGCTCTATCTCTACGTGAGTCGAATCAGATCAATATTATTTTTGGCTTCGAATTACCCATTTATCCCTCTCCTAACTTGAGGGAGTTCAAAAAAGACTACAAGGCCTTGCAAGCGATTCATCATTTCCGCCATCTATCTACTTCGCACAGAGCAAATGTCGGAAGCCTGACATTATCCTATCGCTATTTTCCGGACAAATGTTTAAGGGAGCTATATTCTCTGGATCCAGCAGTTCAGACATTTACAGCTATGACCCGCCATACGATGTACACAGTGGCAAATCATCCCCATGCACTTCGTATTCTATTCGTCAGAAAGAAGTGCAATTCCGACAGCTTCTTCCTAAGAAGTGTAACTTCACAAAACAGACCCCCGAGAGAATGCTTTCTCGAAATAACAACTTCTTTAAATTTTGGGTCAACCGTTTCGTATCGCACGTATTTCCATAATCTGCATTACTTTATCCGCTTACTGAACTAATTCAGGCATAAGTTCACAAGTTTGGAGCAACGAGCGAGAATAATCACTATGTACTGCACAACATCGACGATATTTTTTTACTAATTCTTCACCCAATACGAGGCCTAAAATCCACTTAAGGCAGAGGTTTACTGAATAATATTGTATGAACGTAAGAGAAAGATACAAGAAATGCAGATTATGTGTAGGATAGATCAGAGCTTCTCAAATTGGTGGTCGGCGGACCGGTGCCGGTACGCGAACCATCAGCTACCGGTACACGTCCAGTGTCCATGCCATGCTAAGGAAACGTATGTAAAGATTAAGGTTATGTTATTTTTGTTTTTGTGTTAATAAACTGCTTAGTTTTTAATACTTTTTATATTGAATTTTTGTTTGTTTTTTTTTGTTTTTTTTAAATAAATGAAAGATAAAAAAATATTCAACTTTTATTATATTTATTATATATAAAGTTTCCGGTATAAATTAATATTACCACAAAATATTACAGGTACGTGACCCATTGAGGAAAAAAAATACCCGTCCGCCATATCAGATAGTTTGAGAAGCACTGGGAAAGATAACGGTTGTATCTAGACTTGAAGAGGCTAAGAGTATAGCGGTCAAGAAAGCAACAACTCGGGAGTTTGTCCCATAAAATAAACTGTTGCTGTGAAGAAGCTGTCCAAATAAAACTATAATCTTATTAGTTTTGCTACGGTGGAGTAATCAGTGAGCCGAGTTCGAATTCCAGTCGAATCCATTATATTTACTTACGTGCTAATACCCTTGGGGAAGGTATGAATCCTCTTCTTCTCGCAGGGCAGACCGGGTTCTACAGCATTGGATGGCAACTGGTCTACCGTGGAAAGAAATAGCAACCTACTGCCTGGTCAGTCGTGTATCGAAAGATATATGATCGCCTAAGCGTGTATCATGTATGGCATGACTGAAATTTACTAAGGTTATCATAGTCTGGTACAAGGACATAAATTTACTAAGGTTATTATAGTCTGGTACAAGGACATAGCGGTGGCGGAGTGATACTCGGGGAACGTTTGCGCTCGTAAAGCATTGCGCTATGGTAGGCGCACATCATGCGCGTTTTCAGTTGCGCCTGCTTGCATGGGAGATTCTATTTAGCGACGACCAAAAACATTTCTCACATCACCTTGTCGGCTCCGCTTCCCGCTTAGTTTTTGATTTTTCATTGTCTTCAGTCAGCGGCCTCCCCTATTGTCAGACCAATGGTCAGTCCACTTCACGGCCAAATTCCAACCTCCCAAATAGACAATTACACCCTCCGCCCGACCACCCCCACACCCGGCTCTCCGCACCCCCCTCCCCCAGCACCACCTTAATCACCTTTTATTCAATGTCCGGACACAGTGTCCACGCGGAGGCTACTTCTTTGCGCCTCTGACCATTCAATCAACGAAATACTGTCCATTTATTGGACACTGTCACATTGCATTCGACTTTCCGTGCGTCTCTCTTGATGCTGTCGTAAGCATTTTCCGGTTGGAAGGTTTCTGCAAAGTATTAACTGTCTGAGGATGACACCGACTGAGAGACGAACATGTATGGTAGGCGCCTTTGGCTATAATATCATAGATTACAGGTAGATGTATGGCAGCACCGAAGGGATGTAATGCAACTGATACACTTGGATGAAAAACAAAATGAATGTTCCTAATGTTTTTCTTTTTTTTTTGTTTTTAACCTTTTCATATTTGTTCTTGCTTTTTCCCTTGCTTTATATTTTATTTGTGTTCTTTTTTTTTTTTTTTTTATACCAATGATCAGAGGCGGATATGCAATATAATTGGCCCTGTTCTGGCATCTCGTCTACAGTCGCTCTCTCACAAACGCGCCGTCGACTCTCTCTGTCTGTTTTACAAATACTTTCATGGTAATTGCTCTGAAGAGCTGCATTCGCTGGTTCCCAGACTTCATGAGTTCAAGCGCCCTACGAGGCTGGCATCCCGCTCTCACCTCTTCACTGTCGAAACTATTAAATGTAGCCGTCTCTTCTACTCCAATAGCTTCATGTCTCGCACCTCTCGCCTGTGGAACTCCCTTCCTTATTCCAGTTTCCCTGAGAGCTATAATCTCCAACTATTCAAATGTAATGTTAATCGATATCTCCAGTTGCCTTGATCTATCCACTATCCTTCCCCTCATCCTTTCCTCTATCACTCCTATCTGATCTTGCTCCAAATTTTCAGTAAACCCTTGCGTCCTAGTGGCTTCTCGCCTTGCTTGGGGTGATAAGCTTAAAAAAAAAGTATAAGGCTCAAGAATCACTCAAGGTAGATGCTTACTGTGTGGCGTTGTATGATCGAAAGAATTGTTGTTTGTTTTCTTTTGTTATAGATTTTTTCTTTTTTCTTTGTAGTTCTTTTTCTCCGTGTTTTCTTTTTCTTTTTTATATACTTCCTTTTTTTTTTCTTCTTCTTACATTAGTTCTTTTTCTTCCTCTTTTCGTTGTCTTCTTTTTATTGTCCTTTTTCTAATCTATTGTCGTTCTTTTCTTCATATTTCTTTTTCGTTTTCTCTTCGTTCCTTTTTTTTTCTTTTCTTTTTAAGGACCGTCTTTTTGCTCCATCTTTTCTTTTTCTTCTTTTTCTTACTTTAGTTCGTTTTTTTTCCCTCTTTCTTTTTTCTCCAATTTATTCAAAATATTTTTTTCGTGATTTTTTTTCTTTCTCTTTCTTTTACTTGTATTTCTTTTTTTTCTTCAACATTTCTTTCTTCTTTAAACTATTTTGCTTTTTATATTTTCTTTTTCTTTCCATCAGTTTTTTTTGGAGTAGTCCTCCTTTTCTTCATTTTTCTTTTTATTGCCGTTCTTTCCCTCTTCATTTCTTTCTTTTTTTTTCTTTTTTTCTTTTTTCGTTTCTTTATCATTATATATAAATAAAAAAATTTTAAGGACAGACGACAAAAAAGACAAATTTTAAATCCTAAATATGTACGACACACAAAAGAAGAAAAATGAATTATCTACTATTTTAGCCTCACGTAAGATAATTCCTTTGCTTCAACTAACGTCAAGATGTTTTTTTTTTTCTTTTTAAAATTGTATTTTCGGCACCATATACGTCAAATAAATCGCAGGGTTTTTCTTTCTACAGAAGTGCACAAGCTTTCAAACTAATCTTTTCATGTTTTCATTTCTCCAGTTTTCAAACCAAAATTAATATCCAACACTTCATAGATATAAAATATATTAGCTTTGACGAGTGTTTATTGATGGGAAAATATTTAACAGGATATCTTCTAAGTATTTACTACGTAATAAATAATGGTCTTTTTTTATGAAGGTGGCTTTAATTAAATGAAAGATATGGCTACTAGCATTTCTGCATGTTACTTTCTTTTCTTTTTATGTGGCATATCTTTTCAGGACGTAGGCGATAATGGCACTTCACCTTCCTCTATCCCTTGTGGCTCTCCACAAGTACCTTCCCTCTGCTTCCTCCGTCAGGCCACGTTCTGTCATCCACTTGTTTAAGTTCGCCAGGTATGTCATGCATTGTTTTCTCCTGTCTCTCTTTCCCTCTATTCGACCTGTGAGTATCAGATTCTCCAGGCCTTCCTTCCTCATTATGTGTTCCTGATATTAAGTATAAGCCCCCTCCTTGTTTGCAACCGCTTTAAGATCTAATCGTTGCTCACACGCTCGGTCCATGATATCCTTAGCATCCTCCTGTAGAACCATATCTCCGTTGTCTTGAGTCTCCTCTTCATCTTTGAGGAAATCGTCCGACATTCGCTACTGCAAAGAAGGACATATTTTTATTGCTGGTAATATATTTGTTTTTTTTTAAATGTATTGCTGGTAATTTTTTTTCCCAAAACTTTATTGATGGTATTTTACTATTACTATAGTATTTTACTATTTTCCCATAGCTGGGACCCTAACAGGTGCTACCACCCCAGGTCAGGGTGGACTTGGAAACAACAGCAATGAATAGGTGGTTCCACGCTTCTGAAAACCTCCTCAGCATCCTTCTGTAGAACTGTGTGTTACTTGTGTGAGAGAGAGAAAGAGAGAGAGACACACACACACACACACACAGAGAGAGAGAGAGAGAGAGAGAGAGAGAGAGCATAAACTTAAATTTCAGTTTAAAATCCAGTTTAAAAGATTAAAATCTCAGCATAAAAACTCCTTCGTTTGCTTGTGTAATTAGATCAATGTAAACATCAGTTTAATCTGCTTAAGTCCTAAGGGATGAAACGCACTACATAGGCGTAAAAGTTACATAGGTGAAACATCTAGAAATCTGAAAGCCAAAGGAGGCCTGTCATATGTTCTTAGATGTTGGCTTTCTTTAATAAGATTTCTCTAATATCTTGGTCATAAGTATAATGTTTAAAAATATAAAAAAATAAACAGAGGGTCTACTGAAATAAGGGTATCCATTAAAAAAAAAGTTTAATACATATTTTTTATATTTATACATTCTTTTTTTATAGATACAAATATTTAAGTAAATGCTCTGACCTGAATGTCCGAGATATTTTCATAGAAAATATTCGTCCTCCGACAGGAATCGAACCTGTATCCTATGCGGAACCGTCATATAGCCTGACGTGCTTTTACCGATTGAGCCACAGAGGAGCGTGCGATTGTAAGATCGATTTTACTGTATTTAAACGCAATTTTTAGTAATTTTCTCTCATACATTCACATCTGCTCGATGCGTATCCAAATGTAAACAAATGACGTCACACATTATGAAAATATGCGTCCTCCGACAGGTTCCGTATAGGTTACAGGTTCGATTCCTGTTGGAGGACACATATTTTCTATGAAAATTTCTCGGACATTCAGGCTGGTAAATGTTGTTAATACTGTTTATTATAAACAGAGCATTTTCTTAAATATTTGTATCTATATAAAAAAGAAAAAAAGAACGTATAAACATGAAAAAATGTCTTAAAAATAATTGTCGGACTTTTGTCCATTTCATAATGTGTGACGTCATATATATATATATATATATATATATATATATATATATATATATATATATATATATATATATATATATATATATATGGCTGCAACCTTTCTTTTAAACATCTTTCGTTGAATATGAGAGATAAAGAAAATTTAATTCATTTTTTTATTTAGTTTTTACAACATTCTTACATCTTTTTTCTTTTGTGGGGTGTGAGGGAGTGCAAAAAATATCCGTGTTGTTCATTGTCTCAGGCGATTTCTTCAGTCATTTTCAAAGGGGAGAGTTTTAGCTGTTGTTAATTTCTCTTAATGTTTGGCTGTTTAAGATGTGTTTTTTGTTTATGTAAGTACAAGCGTTTATTCTGAGCCTTCGTGAATAAAATTCAAGTGAGAATCTTTCTATTTCTTAAAAAAAAAAAACCTTTCAACACCCCGTTACCACTGTTGAATAAGGTGAGGTTGATAGTTGGGGTGATATGCTTTATATACAGGTCCCGTCTCACAGAGATTTTCCGGTAATGTGATTTTATATAAACCACATTACCGGAAAATCTCTGTGAGACGGGACCTGTATATATGCGTTTTCGATCAGAATATTCCTTCAGTGTTCTTGTAAATTGTGGGTGGCTTAATGTTTTTATATCACTTTGATTGATATAAGTGTCATGTGAGGTATCTACACGAGGAGGTGGTAGTATGCCCTACATAGGTAATTGATTTATGACAAGAAACACAGTTTTGTGCTGGGCTGTGAAACTGGTAAACTATTTTATACACAGAAGGGATTTATAAGGCCCAGTGTTGTCGGTTATAAAATAAAATAAAAATAATGTTGTCTCTGAATTCTCATGTCCCCCCTCCTGAGAGAGTGCATCTCCAACACTAATAATCAAAAAGCAATTTTAAATACTTACATTGGGCACATATGCACCACACTCTCTTGCAGACTGACCTGTCGACTTACACGGTGAACGTCCTCGGCGATACAAAATAGCTGTTGTAAAAACGATGATTTATCGAACCAAAGTAATCTCTCCCTCGGACATATTGAACTATAAGGAACTTAGCAACATTAAACAAACCCTAATCAACAATAATTTCTCTAACCACGTCGTCGACGAACAAATAAAATTAGTCTTAACGAAATTTAGAAAAAAATGATACCAGACCCCCTCCCCTAACGCCAAAAATAAACACACTATTCATATATTCTATGGTAACTAAATGCACCCTAATTATAAACAGGATGAAAAAGCAACTCTAAATAGAATTCACCGGTACATGTAACTCAATGATCCTAACAAACACCTAAGATTTATTATCTATTACAATTAAGTTGAAATCATTTAACTTAATTATTACCAACAACACCGGGACTTATAAATCACACCCCCTATGTAAAAATAATGTTGTCTATGAATTCTCGTGCTCCCCACTCCCTGGAAGATTGCATCTCCAACACTAATAAACAAAAGACAACATTAAATATTTACATTGGGCACACATGTAACACATTCTCTCGCAGATTGACCTGTCACCTACCGAAACTCAGTGCAATCCGTGCACACATCAATCAAAACATCATGGACGATCAAACTAAAACTATCAAGATAATAACAAATATTTGTAGATAACACGAAAATGCTCTATAACACATATTGCAAGGAAAGACTCAAAATTCTAGAAGCTATTACCATGCAAATAAACAGTCCACATTAATTAAATTGTCATTTGCCAGAGGAGATGGTATCTTGAAGTGCATATGATACCATATGATATCATGACTGTGTGTGCATATTTTATTATAATATTAAAAAATAGAATAAAAATTAAATTAATAAATAAATAAATAGCATTCTTTTTGCGAGGTGTCGTCCCTAATAACCGTTACACATGACATCATGCGAGACCATTTCAAACGTCCAGCTTCCCAAAGAATACCAGGCTGAAGACAAAGGAATTCTAACGACCACGCGGACACCACGCCGGTTCTTGATAATGACTGCGAAAGTCGAAAGTACTTGAATAAAAATAACAAAATATGAACTCCAGACAACTTACCCAAAACTTCGAGCACAATTCTCAGACCACTTATCGGAAAATTGGGGAAAAACAATAAAAAGTTAAATCGTCAAACCTTGCAGCTTTTGTGGCAGAGCGGTCAAGGTAAATGACGGTTCCGTAGAGGATACAGGTTCGAATCCTGTCAAAGGACGAATATTTTCTATGAAAATTTCTCGGACATTCAGGCCGGTAAATGTTATTTAATACTGTTTATTATAAACAGAGCATTTACTTAAATACTTGTATCTATAAAAAGAACGTTAAACATAAAAATGTCTTTAATACATAAACATATATATATATAATTTATTCGAAAAATTATAACTTAGATATATTATAAACTCACTACAAAATAGCCATTTTTGGTGTCTTATCAAGTGATGGTGCTGAATGTAGAATAAGGAGTTTTAAAAGGTTGAAATCGACCAAAAACACCTCGATAGGGGAAACGCTCTTACGTCACCTATAATGACCAATCAAAATACAATTATATGAGAATTCAAAAAACTTCACAACGAACCTTGCTTATAATAATTAATGCCTTTATGTTAGGGTTAGACTAAAATAGAATTCATTCTAATTAATTAATATTAAATTTTACAAAGAAATTGAAAATTAAAAATTACCAATTTAAAATTTAAAATTTAATCTGTATTAAGTTTAAAATATTATAAAATTATTTAAAGAAAAAAACTGAGGAAAATGTATATATATATATATATATATATATATATATATATATATATATATATATATTAATATTTATTTTGTTTTAATTGTAAGGCCAAAATCTCAGCTAGAATAAACGTTAATCAAAAGGGGATGTAAAACTTCGTTCCAGCTTTGATATAATTGAAGTGGTGATATGGGCAGGGAAGGATGAAATCTTTCAAATGACAATACATACACAATCAGATTATAATACACAAACACGTAGACATATTTCGAGATATAAGCACGTAAAAAAACACGAACGAAACAGGAAATACATGTCCACGACCTTAAAAGAAAAACAGACAACATATACATACAATGAAAGGCATATATAAGCGATCATACACACATACATTAATAAAGACACACATATATACACACCTACAAAGATTCAAGTTTGAAAGTGTTAGTAAACGAATTCAAAGAGACTATTGAAATATTACTTGCATGGGCAAAGATATATATAAATAACAAGAGGGTTCAATAGATAAAATTCAAAAGGGGTAAAAAAAAAACGAACCAACAAACAAATAATCGGCAATAAACAACGCAAAGAAAAAAGACAAAACATTTGTACTAAATACAAATTGTTCCATCCGACATGAATCGAACCTGCTTCCCATTTTTCCATCAGGCAAACCGTTTCTATAGCCGAAATGAACCGGTACCAGTTTTGGCCACAGGAACTGATGGCATTAGCAACATGAAGGGAATGAAGCCTTATTATAATATCAAATTGCAAAGTTTTTTTAGGCATTGAAAATCTGAAAGAAAGGGATTGTCAGTGGTCAGGAATTAATGCATCCAGTGCAGATAGAATAGGACGATTATATGTATAATGTAAATGCATTGCAAATGATTTTACTATAGGAATGCATTGAATATCAGGAAGAAAGGGATTGTCAGTGGTCAGGAATGAATGCAAGCATTACTGATAGAATAGGGCTATTATATGTATAATGTAAATGCATTGCAAATGATTTTACTATAGGAATGCATTGAATATCAGGAAGAAAGGGATTGTCAGTGGTCAGGAATGAATGCAAGCATTACTGATAGAATAGGGCTATTATATGTATAATGTAAATGCATTGCAAATGATTTTACTATAGGAATGCATTGAATATCAGGAAGAAAGGGATTGTCAGTGGTCAGGAATGAATGCAAGCATTACTGATAGAATAAGGCTATTATATGTATAATGTAAATGCATTGATAATGATTTTACTATAGGAATGCATTGAAAATCAGGAAGAAAGGGATTGTCAGTGGTCAGGAATGAATGCAAGCATTACTGATAGAATAGGGCTATTATATGTATAATGTAAATGCATTGCTAATGATTTTACTATAGGAATGCATTTAAAATCAGGAAGAAAGGGATTGTCAGTGGTCAGGAATGAATGCAAGCATTACTGATAGAATAAGGCTATTATATGTATAATGTAAATGAATTGCTAATGATTTTACTATAGAAACGCATTGAAAATCAGGAAGAAAGGGATTGTCAGTGGTCAGGAATGAATGCAAGCAATACTGATAGAATAAGTATGGTAATACATTATTCCCACCTTCAGATAAAGAACAGAGAATACTTTTAAAAAATCCCTATATCCACACTGCTTTGATAGGGTCTTTTCTGGTTTTGGTCATCGGAATAAAAATGAATGACGAATCACAATGGACTTTTCAGATGCAAAATGAGATCGTTTTCGCAAAGTGTCTGCTGTGCGGTCGATTCCGTTCATTAGATGGCTCGTCGGATATTCCGTAAGCCAAGACATTTCATCTTGTGGCTGATTGGGCATCTCCCGTTATTATTAGCCATAAATGACCAGCAGAACTGCTGGACAACAGCGGGTATCTGACAACTGACCGCTAGTACGTTGCCGGCGGATCAAGAAATGGGAGAAGCCTTCTGTTTGCTTGGTTGTCGTGGCGCCGGCGGCGGGTGGAGCGTGGGTGGGAAGGCGCTTAAGGAGTGGTCGTGGGGTGGGGGGATGCGAAAATAAATATGAAAGATTGAAGAGACACCAGAAGAGACAGGGAGAAAATGGCGTCAATGATAGGAAGGAATTAATGAAAGATATCGGAGAGAAAGAGAAAAGAGAGAAACGAAAAAGAGAATGTAGAAGAAAATATGAGTTAAAGGTAAAGAGAGTAATGAGAATAATAATAATAATATTGATGAGAAGAAGAAGATGAAAAAGAAAAGGAGGAGTAGCAGGAAGAAAGAAGAGGAGCAGGTGCAGGAGCAAGAAGAGGAAGCCGGGTCAGGAGCGGGAAGAAGAAGAAAAGGGAGGAGGAGCAGTAGGAGCAAGAAGAAGAGAAAAGGAGGAACAGGGCTAAGAAGAAGAAGTAGAAGAAGAAGAAGAAGAAGAAGAAGAAAAGGAGGAGGAGTAGGCGGAGCAAGAAGAAGAGATGGAGGAGCAGCAAGAAAAAGAAGAAGAGGAGGAGCAGGAGCAAGAAGAAGAAGAGGAAGAAGACGGAAAAGAAGAAGAGTGGTAGGAGCAGGAGCAGTTGCAAGAAGAAGGGGAGGTGGATCAGGAGCGTGAAGAAGAAGAAGGGGATGGAGGTGGAGGAGGTGCAGTAGGATCAAAAAGAAGAAAAAGAGAAGGAAACAGGGCCATGAAGAAGAGGAAGAGGAGGCGAAACAAGAAGAGGTTAAGGAGCAAGAAGAAGAAGAAAAAAAGAAGGTGATGAGTAGAAATTACATTAAGAAGAAGAAGTGGAGGAGCAGCAAAATGAAGAAGAAGAAGAAAAGGAGGATGAGGAGGAAGAAGAAGAAGTAAAAGAATAGTGGCAGGAGCAGGAGCAGTTGCAAGAAGAAGAAGGGGAGGGGATCAGCAGCGGGAGGGAGGTGGAGGTGGAACAGTAGGAGCAAGAAGAAGAAAGAGAAGGAAACAGGGCCATGAAGAAGAACCGGAGGAGGCGGAGCAAGAAGAAGAGCTTAAGGAGCAAGAAGAAGTAGAAGAAAAAAAGAAGAAGAAGGTGAGGAGTAGAAATCACAGGAAGAAGAAGAGGTGGAGGAACAGAAAGAAGAAGAAGAAGAAGAAGAAGAAGAAGAAGAAGAAGAAGAAGAAGAAGAAGAAGAAGAGTGGCAGGAGCAGTTGCAAGAAGAAGAAGGTGAGGGGAGAAGAAGAAGAAGAAGAAGAAGAAGAAAAGGGGAAGATAAGAAGAAGAATAAGAAGAAGAAGAAAAAGAAGAAGAAGAAGACAGAAGAAGTTGCCAAGAAGAATGGGAGGAGGATCAGGAGCGGAAGAAGAAGAAGAAGAAGAAGAAGAAGAAGAAGAAGAAGAAGAAAGAAGAAGCAGCGATAAAGAAGGAAGCGAAGAAGAAAAGAAGAATGAAGTAAGCGAAGACAGCGCTAAATGAAGGAATAATAAGATCCGGTATTAAAGGTAAAAAAACTGGTTCCCCTCTCTTCCTTCTACTCAACAACGACCTTCCTGATGTCATCAGTTACCGACTTGGAATCTGTGCGGATGATGCAAATATTTACGCCTGTCTAATAGTTTCGGTAAAATCAAATTGACAGCTGAGCTCAAAAATAACCTACAACCAGTTGTGAGTTGGAGAAAGAAGCCTTAGTAATATGATACACACAGGACCGTAAGCTATAGTAGTCACACACCCTAGCTCACGGCACTGAGTATTCCCAAGTGGTCACCCATCTAGGTACTGACCAGGCTGGACGTTTGCTTAACTTCGTTAGTCGTAAGAGAAACAGTGTTTCAACGTGATATGACCGTAAGCCCCAGCACTCGCACATCGTATATCACCTGGTATTCCTAAGCGGTCACCCATCTAGGTACTGACCTGGCTCGATGTTGCTTAAGTTTGTTAATCGTACAACGACCGACGAGGAAGAGTTTCAACGTGATATGACCAGAAGCCAAAACAGTCGCACATCCTAGCATACATCACCTGGTATTACTAAGCGGTTATCCATCTAGTTGCTAACCAGGCTCGACGTTGCTTAACTTGATTAATCGTACGAAAACCGGTGTTTCAACGTGTTTTGACCGTAAGCTATAGCAATCGCACATCCTAACTCATATCACCTGGTATTCCTAAGCGGTCACCCATCTAGGTTCTGACCAGGCTCGACGTTGCTTAACTTCGTTAATCGTACGAGAACATGTTTCAACTTTTGATGACCGTGAGCTATAGCAGTTGCAAATCCTAGCATACATCACCTGGTATTCCTAAACGGTCACCTATCTAGGTTCTGACCAGGATCGACGTTGCTTAACTTCGTTAATCGCACGAGGACATGTGTTTCAACGTGAGATAACCGTAAGCCTTAGCAGTCGCAAATCCTAGCTTACATCACCTCGTATTCTTAAGCGGTCATCCATGTTGGGTTAATTTCAACTCTTGCTATTGATTTATTTCTCGGCTCTAGAATCACTGCTTTATGGTCAGCCGATGGACTTTTCAGCCCATCCTCTTATTAACGGAATACTAAGATTTTTTTCCAGAGTACCTGGTCTAGCGGATCTTAACTGTGAAAGTCAGAACTGGTAGAGTGTAGCTTGTCATGGAAAAAGCGATAGAGTAACAAGAGGCTTGCGACGTTTCGCTTAAAGGATAGAGGTTGCAGAGTGGAAAATACTTCATCGCCCAAAAGGACGCGAAAACGCTTCTGGACTCTGTCAAGACTGAGAAGTGAAGACTGGTTATCTCCTGCCGAGACATAGCAACAATAATCTATTTTGGATCTGATCCGACTCGTGGAATTCGGGTATCTTTTGAAGCAAGTCAAGGGACCAACCATTTTCCTTGTATCTTTAGCAATAGATCGTATATCGAATCGAAAACCGACATTTCCCCAAGCAAGGCAGTAAAGCCACTAAGACACAAGCAGTTACTGAGTGGGAAAGAATTAGAAAACATTATTATGCAATAGAAGAGTCAGCAGAAAGACAGTAGATAGCGATTTAAAATCTTGAAGCACGAAGTTGTCTGGAAGACATGGAGCCGGAAGAGAGTTCCACAAGCGAGAAGTGCGACAGAAGAAAATGTTAGCTTATGACTTACGGTTACATCTATCCGTTTCAACTGCAAAATGATTAGACGTTGTTGCCAATCTAGTACCACGCTTAAATTCATATAGTCTAGGTACCCTAGAGAAAAGTTCATCAGAACAATTACCATGAAAGTATTTATAGAAAAGGCACAAGGATATCACCTTAGGGCGGTAGGAAAATGACTGAAGCCGAGACGACATGTCAGGACCAATAATATTGCAGATTCTTCTTTGGATTTTATTAAGAATCTCTAAATATATAGCAGGGGCACCGGGCCATATAATGCAGTAATATTCAATGCATGGACGAACGGTAGACTTATAAATATGTAAGATAGATTCAGGAGAGAAAATCGTCAAGCATGACATAGTGAGCCAAATTTCTCAGCAGTTGACCAAGGAGTGGATCCAATATCGTCTTTCCACTCCATTTCATCTGAAAGCGTAACGAGTGAATCTCCTGGAGATTAGCAGTAGCTGATGGAAGGCAAGGAGGGGTCTTTCAGATTATTAATAGAAAGCTGTTTTTTTTTGGTGGCATTAACAAGCCATTCGTTGCCCCAATTAACAACGGATATGAACTTCACTTGAGTTCTAGGGGGAACTTGAGTCTGAGTAGACGTTCAAAACAAGAAATGTCCTCGGAATACAGCCGTTCATTATGACAGGCGAAAAAAAAGGCTATGTTTAGTGATGGTGAAATGCTACTGGCTTGGCTTGAGAGGTATTCAGTGTCACAAGACAAGAGAGGTATTCAGTGTCACAAGACAAGAGAGGTATTCAGTGTCACAAGACAAGAGACGTATTCAGTGTTACAATGAGCCGTTGGGACTACGTCGGAGGAGAGATCAACTGCCAGTCTCTGATCCGCTAGATTTTTGGAGGTGCACCCATACACTCTACATCATATATATATATATATATATATATATATATATATATATAGTAACCCGGATATAAGAGAAACCCGGATATAAGAGAAACCCGGATATAAGAGAGATTTTCTCTGGTCTCAAATTAGAGCCTGTGTTAATGTATATAAAATACACCAAACCCGGATATAGGAGAAACCCATATATAAGAGACTTCATCTCCGGTCCCGAAAACTCTCTTATATCCGGGTTACACTGTATATATATATATATATATTTGTAGCCTCTGTCTGTCTGTTTATTTGTTATAGAACTCCTCCTATGGTTTTGGAGGTAGAAAACCATAACCATATATAATCTGAAACTAAATTACCCAGGGTACTTGGATAAGTTTATTTCATTTTGATCAAAGGGGTCGCCCCACCCCCACTGAAAAAAATATTTCCCTTTGATATAAATTAAATTTTAATTTGAACAAGGTACTGACACTTACGGTACTTGGATAAGTATATTTCATTTTGATCAAAGGAGGTCACGGGTGGGGGACAACTCCCCATACTGAAAAGTTTTTTTCCTTTGATTTAAATTAAATTTAAAGGGAATTTAATTAAATTTTAATGGAATGACTTCTATCTAAAATATAGAAGGAGAAAGTCAGAAGATGGAGGTCACATCGGCAAGATCAAAATGAGACAATATGGACGTCAAGTTGAGCAAGGAATCACCAATCAGTGGGTAGTGCCTTACATGACATATCTGTTGCGACTGTCATATCAATGCAGATATCTGCTCATCAGTTCATTCAATCAAGTATCGCATCAAATGCATATTAAAGCGGTCAGATCAAGCTGTTTTGGCACAAACCCACAATAAGAATTTTTTTCCCTTTGATATAAATTAAATTAAAATTTGAACAAGGGAATGAGTCCTAGGGTAATTGAATAAGTAAGTTTTATTTTGATCAAAACGGGTCCCCTGAGTAACAATTCATTGAATTTTTTTCCCTTTGATTGAAACTAAATTCAAATTTGAACAAGGGAATGATACCTATTCAAAATATAGAAGGAGAAAGTCAGAAGATGGAGGTCATATAGGCAAGATCATTGAGTAATATTGAAATGTATCATTTTTTTTATTCACAAATTATAACAATGATTTAAAACCAATCATTTTCTTAGAAGAATAAATGTCTTGACACGCAGCAAGGCGCGGGCAATTCGGCTAGTATTTAATAAAGATTTGGAAGCTGTTTAAACAGCCATGACAACAACCAGACGAATACAGTCCAATCAAGTTCATGAATGTTTTTGAAGAGACATGATGCCCGCAAGGGGGAAAACCACGCGCACAGAAATCGAAGATTCAGAAGATGTGTTGACAAATCGTTTGTGTTGTTTGCGGGCATAAAGATCTAACTTGGACATTTCGGGGCAAATGTTTTTTTTTTTAAACAAGCTGATGCGATCAAAAGACAGACTTAAGGAAAAGAAAGTTGATTGGCTATAAAATCAATTTTTTTTCGGTGTTCGTTCGCCAGAGGCGGGAACACCGTGGGAGCTGACTTTTGGTGTTTCTTCTTTTTTTTTTGTGAACAGAAAACCTAATTTATTAATTAATATATATATATATATATATATATATATATATATATATATATATATATATATATATATATATATATATATATGTGTATATATATATATATATATATTAAGACATTCTTTATGTTTATACGTTCTTTTTATAGATACAAATATTTAAGTAAATGCTCTGTTTATAATAAACAATATTAACAACATTTACCGGCCTGAATGTCCGAGATATTTTCATAGAAAATATGCGTCCTCCGACAGGAATCGAACCTGTATCCTCTACGGAACAGTCATATAGCCTGACATTATATATGTGTGTGTGTAATTGATATATATATTATTTATATATTATATATGCGCGGTAGTTATTGGAAAGCGTTCAGTGGCAGTGGATAGAGCTAATATACTTAGTTGTATTCATTTGAGTTTGTGACCCTGGATTTCACGCTTTGCAATCGCCATATATATATATATATATATATATATATATATATATATATATATATATATATATATATATATATATATATATATACTAGCCAAATTAGCTGCGCCTTGCTGCATGCCACATATTTTCATATTTTCTTTGTAAGAAAATGATGTATGATTTTAAATCATTGTTATAATTTGTGGAGAAAAATGATCTATTTCAATATTACTCAATGATCTTGCTGATGTGACTTCCATCTTCTGGTTTTCTCCTTCTATATTTTGGATATGAGTCATTCTCTTGTTCAAAATTAAATTTAATATGAATCAGAGGGAAAAAATTTCAGTGGCGGTGGTGGGGAAACCCCTTTGACGAAAATGAACTATCCTTATGCAAGTACCCTCGGAATCATTCCCTTGTTCAAATTTAAATTTAATTTATATCAAAGGTGGGAAAAAATCAGTGGTTCGTTTGAGAACACCGGGGACACCCTTCGATCAAAATTAAATATACTTATCCAAGTACTGTGGTTAAAGTAATTTCATTATATATATATGGTTATGGGAGTCTATCTCCAAATCCCCGAGAGGAGTTCGATAACAGACAGAGGCTACACACACGCACACTCAAACACGACCCCACCACAGACATTACGATTCCAATGTAATAAATTGTAACCATGGAATATTAGTGCTTGAGCCGTTTATATTATACTTTACTCTGTCCTGACATTTAGTTCTACCTGGATTGTATCCTCTTGAGAATTTATATATATATATATATATATATATATATATATATATATATATATATATATATATATATATA